ACTGTTAACAATTTTTATGTACCAAACTCTTTGGTGGTTTTCAGCTGACTGCCTGACTTAAAAGCTACCCTTAAAAATGTAAACGAAATCCTAGCTTAACCTACTGACACAAATTACATCTGGTTAACATCTAATCTACCAATGTATGGTTCATACACTTGAGCAAGTGTTCAGTTCCTGGGAACCAAGGGATGGCACTTCACGTTAAGGGTGTCATAGACAAGTTTGGCGCCATAGACAAGTCAAGTGCGGATCGTTAGGCCTGACATAACTCCTCCCTACGTAGTTTCGACTCAACGCTTCAATGGGGTAGTCGAATATCGTAGTCTTGTCCTGGTTTCGTCATATTCTTTTGTTTCGTAAAGGTGATACAACCGACCATAATTGCAATATCGGTATGCTCCAAACACTGGGTGGTTTGAGAATGGTGGACATAGGCGGGGTGAATGACTATTACTTGGAATTGAGCAGCATCATTTTTCAGGGGTAGTTCGAGACATTTTCCTGGAGATTTTCATTCTTGCAGATGCAGTTTCCTGACAATACAACTCGGCATTCTTGTTTAGAGTATGTGAAGTGCAATTAATTTTTTTTTTCAGAAATTTGACTCGCGGCAAAACAACTTTAATCAGACTCACATAATAAAGAGACACTGTAAATTCAAAAAGAGATCTGTCGATTTAATTATACTGGGCTGTAGATATAATTTGTATTTAATTTTATTTTATTTTTGCAGATATTAAAGAACTTTAGATTATTGAAGTATAGAGCTTCGTAAATATTTGCTTGGTTAAGTACATCTTTCAAATAAAGAGCGTTTACATTTAGGAAGCACACATGCTGTTTGGCGAAACAGCATGTGCGCCGAAGCATTTGAACCCCCACCCATCCCCACGTATGAGCACACACGGCTGGGCTGCATAAATACGACGGGGAATCCAGCAGTTGAACCAGTCTTAGTCGGAAAGCACGGGACATTACTTCGCCCACTGCCTCATCGCCTTTGATAATGTCTACCGCAGTTGTGGACGAAACGTCAGGAAGAAATTCCCATAGACCACGGCTTCAAAGCCCGGGAGACATTCTTAAATGTGATTTAACCGGCCGTGAAAGCCTTCATAGTCTGATAAAGAGCGTTTACTTTATAAGCAGATTTACTTATAATAGATCCTACTTGAGTGAATTTAGATTTTAGTAGATGTTCATTCTGTTGAATTTGTTGCAAAGCGGAATTGAACTTTTGTCAACTGACAAGAAGAGTGAATTTAATTTGAAAATACTTGCCTGAAGGTTATTTTGGTTAATACGTAAGTTTCAATTAATTGATCCTATCTTTAATTATTTCTTAATTAACTTACTTTCTTATTGAACTTAACTTTCCTAATTAAAACTATACATATTTCGTAATGGACGTTTGATATTGTCCATATGTATTTTATTTTGAGAAGTCGTTGCAACTGTCTTTCGAACAGGATCGACTGTTAAAATGTCAGTAGGAGGTTGGAATTTATCTCCTAGTTTTTGGCGGATATGTTTCTTGATGTAAACTTGTTCATTTGGTTGAAATAATTCAGGCGTATCGCGATTTTCATTAATTTTTCGTATGACCTTATCTTTGTTTTGAATAAGTTTTTCATTTATTTGTGAATATAAAAGTTTGGATTTATCTTTGTGAGTCGAAACATAATCGGTTATTAGTACTTTTTCCAGATCCAAGTTAAAGGGGTCATTAGGGCTAATATGGGCATTTATTACATCAATGGGTTTGTGATTTGTTGAAGAACAAATTGAATAATTATATGCCAAAATTGCGTATTTGAATTTTTTAGTAATTGATGTCTTTTCAAATCCTTGCTTGTTTAAAAGTCTTACAAGCTCGGATAATGTGGAATGTAGCCTTTCTATGCAACCATTAGATTGTGGATGATTAGGAGAACAAAAATGAATTTTAACTTTGTGAAGTTGTAATAATTCTGTTACGACTGTTGAGTAGGAATGCCATGAAAAAAAGGTTAAGATGGTCGCTAATTTCAGTTGCAGCTAATGAGTTGAGACAATATGCCTGTGTATATTTTGAGAAACTATCTATCAGGGTCAAAATTTTTGTTTTTTCCAAGGTAAACGTATCTAGATGTATAATTTCAAGTGGTTTTGTTGGGGTGGGTGTAATGTTCATCTCCATTTTAATGGTGTGACGTTCGTATTTGCTTTGTTAGCAAATTTCGCATTCGTTAAGATAAGTTTGAATAGAATTCTTGAAATTTGGCCAATAGTACTTAATTTTTATTCGATGTTCGGTTTCTTCTATTCCCCTTTGATTTGTTTTGGACTCGTGGTAGTTTTTTATTATCTCTGCAATATCTTGTTTATCAGTAACATCAATTAGCTTAATAAGGCATCGTTTAAATTTCAATGAAGGTCATTTGAAATTCTTCCTCACAATTTCAGAAAAAGGTTCGTATGAATTAGGATTTTCAAAATATATTGAATACATTTTTCCGGGAACTATAAATTCGTTAATAAAATTCATTACGTCGGCCTCGAGGTTGTTTCTTGAAATTTGTAATAGATATATTCATTTCTTTTCAAATAAAATAATGCGTCTTGTTTTTGCTGGTGAATGTAAAACTTGCGTGACAATTATTTGGTTAGCACCGTAAATAACTGCTGATTCGATTATAGGGATTCCGACTATTGGATCTTGTTCATGATTTGTATGGACTGTTTCGACAGGATCACATACTTTATTTATTTGTTCTAGAGCTTCTGATATTGAAGTGTTATATTTTGTCTTTCAAGATCTGGTTGTGCTATAATGGATATTTGGTCGAGATTTTGATTTTCGCAGTTTGTTTCGCTTGAATTGCTTCGGGTTTTTAGTTCCTTTTCCAATGACGTTTTGAAATTTGTCATATGCTTTTTCAGAGGTTCAACTTCGGCCAAATCCTTGCCTTCTTTAGCATGTAGTTCTATACGGCTTAATGCGTCGTTATTAATGCTTGATTTAATTTTTATCACTTGTTCAGATCGCGAGGCAACCGTTACAGTATGAATTTGGGTTCCCGTTTCGTGAAATTGTAACCGTATCCTTGTATTTGGCGTTATCAAGAAGCGTGTGTTGAAATCTACGTTTGCTTGTAATTCTTTCAAATTATCAAGACCTATGAGACCATCAGAAACATTATGAAATTTAAACAAATATAATTTTAATGTTTTGTTTGTCAATGTCAGCAAGATCGAGTCTATACTTACACCTGTCCTGCTTATCTTCCTAATTGCACTTGACGAGTCAGAGAATATTATAGCGTTTTCGAATTTCTTCTTAATTGCCATGTCGACTGCTTCGTGGATTGCTTCAATTTCAGCATTACATATCTCTAACTCGTTAGGCAATTTGCCAGAGTATTTGAGGTCTATTTCTGGGATATATATTCCAAAACCAACTCTGTCTTTTTTCTTTGATGCGTCTGTATAAATAAACTTATGTGTGTTTTTGTATCTTGATGTAGTTGCTAAAAATTTTTGTGCAATGTCAATGTCATCCTTTTTTAAGTCGAAATTGAGCGTTTTTATGTTCTTTATTTGATTCTCCATGCTGATGTCGCAACATGGAAAGCTTTTATGATAGGATATTTTTTTGGTATATGGCAGGAACGGTTCAAAGGCCTGTACTATTATCGGTATTCGTTGATTAGACGGGTTTTTAGAAATTGT